TTGACATGGCAACCGCCGGCCGCCAGGGGGCGCGGCGACACTGGAGGCGGGGAGCGAGCAACGCCTGGCCTGACCGCCCAGGACCCCCTGCACCCCACCCCACTACAGGGTTTCTCTGAGGCAGGTTTGAGACCCAAAAGATCTCTGCCTCCGCCAAACTGCGCCAGAGCTGGTCTGGCCCGGGCCACATCATCACATAAAGAGCCAAGATTTATTCAGCGCCCCTGGGTGTTCAGGAAGTGCTAAGGGGTCTTGCTGAATCCTGAACCAAAGGCCCCACACTCAGGACCATTCATCCATTTTACAGAAGAGAACTCTGAGGTTCAGAAAGGGAAGGTCCTTTGCCCAAGGTCACACAATAACAAAGCTGAATCTTAAGTGTGAGGAATCTTGCTCACGCTGTTTACAGCCTGGCTAGGAGGATGGCAGTGGGGCCTCCTGTTCTTATTGCAGACACCAAACCCCCCCTTAATGCACATCCACCCCACTGATTCCTTCCCCGGCATCTTCCTGGCTCTGGGAGGCTCCTACTTCTTCCTCTAGCTCTGCCCAGTTAGCAGCCCGGCAAAACTGTCTTTCTACCTCCTCTGCACCCTCCGCATGTCCCCTCCTTTCCATCTGCCTGTCCAGCTAAATCCTCAGCTCTTATCCTGCTGTGGATGGATCTCAAATCGTCCTTCCAGCTTCGCCCACCCTCCTGCCCTCGGGCTGTGCCCCCCTCCACCTGCAGGAAGCCCTGGAGTTGCTCCTACCTGTTACCCCGCACTATAGCGCCCTAGAGCCTCCTCCTGGGAGAATGGAAAGCTTTGGGTGACCCTGGTGTCCCAAGAGGCCCGTTCTGGGGAAAGGCCCTGCCCGACAAACGGGGAGGGATGGGGAGCTTCCTCTGGGGGGCAGTGTGGAGCCAAGTCAGGGAATGAACCAGAGCAGGCTTCATAGGTAAATTATTGGTTAAAAGCAGGAAGCTGTTGAATCAGGAATAAGGAGAGAGAAATAATCGCAGCAGTTAGTCTAAACTCCACACAGCGCTTTATGTGAGTTGTGTCAATTGTCAGCCAAGTGAAGAGGATGCTGCTCTCACCTCCACTGTGCACACTAGGCCCCAGGCCCAGAAGTGGTGTCCCTTGGCCCTGGTCACACAGCTGGCAAGTGGCCACACTGGTGCTCGAAGCAAGTCGGGGGAAACCCCAAACACTCGTGGATGTCAAGGCCCCGCCCATCTGAGCCCGGCAGAGCCCCAGGGAGCCTAGGGCCAAGGTGGGATGTGGGAAAAGAAGGCAGCGTGGGCAAATACACCCCTGGCTTGCCTGACTTGTGCTAGCGGACTTTCAGGCCCACAAACCCTCCCTAAGTCACATCCTGTGGCAGAGGACTCAGCAGAGTTTCTGGTGATGTTGTCACCTCCACCCCAGTATCCCTGGCCTGAACCCCTGACATCTGCCAGTCACTTCCCCTCAGGGCCGTGGGCCCTCAGCCCTGGTGGGGAAGAGGCAGGAGCCGTCAGGAGCCCTTTGGAAGGCTGCCCAGCTGCCGAGGCCTGGGCCTCACAGCACAAAGGCTGGTAAGAGCCAGGAAGAAGAAGGAGGAGTGAGTGACTTCCCACTTGCTTTAACCTCTATTTTGCTTTTTTTCTGTGGTTGTTTTTTTTTTCATTGTTTATTGGTACATTTTAGGTATATAGTAGTTACATTCATCATTGGGATCTTGTACCTTTATATGACTTACCTTGTTTCTTATTTTTCCCCATTCCCTGGCCCTCCCTTCAGCCCCTCCACCCTTCCCTGTTTACAAAGACTTTTGTTTCCATGTTTTTCCTTTTGTCATATTTCTTCTTTTCCCATCTTACCTTTCCCCTACCCCTCCCACTTCCCTTACTCCTTTAGACCTTTTCTTCCTATTACACAATATCAATTACACTTTTTGATCCTTTTGGTATTTACACATGTATCTTATTAATTTCACTTAAGAGTATGGCTCAGGCCAGAGATTTATCTCAGTGGTTCCATTGCCTGCCTTGCAAGTCCAAGGACTGGAGTTTGATCTTGATCCCTGGTACAAAAAAAAAAAAAAAAAAAAAAAA